GTTTGTCATCGCTTTCCTCCCAAGAAGCAGGCGTCGTTTGATTTCATGGCTGCTGTCATTTGTTAGGAACACTTAAAAACCAAGGGGAGCTGTTAGAGGAAACAAGGCTCAATTCAAAGAGGACTGGCCTTGGCTCAAAACGGAATCAGACATTTGAAACAGACGAATTTCTTAAGCTCCTTACTTCAAAGTCTTGCACCATATTTAATATCAGGCATTAATATGCAACTTATTTGGTAGTTTTAATAGCTTAGTTTTCCATATTTTTCTTCATGGTATTCCATGGAGTGAAAAAAAAACAGGCTTCATAAATAGCAACAACAACAATAACAATGGTTCTGGAGACTTGAACCTGACTTGCAGATGAGAAGAGCAGGTTTCAGATTTCTGCCTCCATGTCTACAGCTCTGTCTAGGACTACGGGATAATTAAGGAATAAAAAAATGCTTTGGGAGAAATTGAATCAGTCTACAGTTTTAAGGGAACTCACATAACTCATACTTCCTCGACTGCTATATGGATGGGAATACAAGTAATTCTTCAGATTCCACATTTCTTCAAATTTTGATGTGTGGTTTTATGATAAAAATGTACAAAATGTATGTGTTTAGAAAAGAGGCATACGAAAATGCATGTATAATAAAAACATACAAATATGTAGACATTAGATAAGGATCCAGACAAAATCTGTATGTCAGGGCAAATTGGACAAATGCAAACATTCATGCAGTGTTTTAAGCAACATAGAGTTATTTGGATGGAGTTAGGATCTTTCAAGTATCATTCTTAGAGGCAAATCCCTTTTTCCATCTTCTGTTCTTCCAGTATTGTGCCGCCTGACAGTCTTCATTCCTAGAGCTTTCTGTTGAGATTTATAACCTTTTCTCCAATGGGGCATTGCATGAAATGAGGACAATTTAAAGACAAAGGGACATCGGTAGAACCTCTTTAGCTTCAACAGCTTTGCTCCAGAAGGTCAGTAGTAGTGGTGAGCATATGCACCATGCTGGTGAAAGGGGATGACACCTGCATTTGGAAGTAACTTCTAAATTAAGCACTGCCTGAAAAATGGAGGAAAGACATACAAAACAAGAGAATGATCAGCACACAGCAGCTACAGTAAAATGTCACTTTTCATATTTGCATACTAGTATCTAAATCACCATTCAGGTTCCTAGCATATTTGTCTGGCTTCGATGTTTTACACAAATTTTTGCACTCTTCTTCCAAGCACAACACACTAGTCATGATCCAGAATATCTCTTAGTTCAGCACAAGTTTTCTTATCTGAGCTAGCAGTGCTATACACTGTCACAAGCTAAGGGTCTCACACTTTAATAATGATGTATGTCTAGGACTCCTCCTGTCTCCTGAAATTAATAGAAGTAGTGAAGTTCCTGAAGTGCACAAACCTTTACCATGACCTTTCAGGAAGACATTTCCGTAGTGTGGCCATTCAAATCTTGACGTTTCTGTTCTCATTGGCTGCCATGGCTGTATTAGATGCACCATTTTGTAGAAAAAGACAGAATATTAATCCATTGAATAAATAATAAAAATAATACTTCCCCCAAACATAGCCCAAAAAGCATAACACTATCTAAATTTAGAATGATCATCAAGGGGAAAATTCAAGATTTCAATATATATCATCATTTTTCTTATCTTCTGACAAGTGACTAGAGAAAAATCAGTACTCTTTGTTTTCTTCTAGTGAATAAGCAAACAGCTGCTTGTTCATGCATTTCACCTAATGTTTTAAAATAATAACTCTGAAGTTCATATTGCCTTGTAACCTGCAATGCACAGTTAATAATAATAATTATTATTACATGGTTATAATAATTACATGAACATCCATTCTGGGATTTTCTAGGTACGGAGTACTCAAAAATGGTTTACCATTCCCTTCTTCTGAGGATGCCCAGGTGTGCAGTTTGCACAAGGCTACACAGCATGGCTGTTCTTCTGGCAGATATAGTGGGAAATCAAGCTCCTGACCTCTGACTCTACATACACTTAAATGTGTAGGTTTTATGTCATAGCAAATGCAATTCACTTGGGGTTTTTTTTCCTTGTAAATTTGACTTACCCCCCACATATACATATTTCCCAGATTTCCTAACACATCTGAGGACTGTGGTTTTTGCCTATGAAAAATATTCTGTGTTCCACAGCTCTTCCTCCACCTTGCTTAAGTACTGTAAGCTGTGTTCTGGGGATACATATTACAAAGAGGTATATCTCACATTCATTTCTGAACAAATTGCAGTTTGAGCTTGATCGGTTTCATTTGTGCTGAAATGAAAATGAAGAGGAACAAATAGACCTGAATGGGATTCCCTTTGGTAGCAGTCCTAAATGACGTTCCAGAGCACATAGAATTTTGATTAGTTTGCCCCACCAGAGGAGTATTATTTTCTGTAGGCAAAATTTAATAAACGTATAACAGGCACTGTATGAACCATATTTGTGACCTCCAAGAATAACCACAGAAATGAACATTGCTTCTGCCAGAAGCAACGATGATAATAGTGCAAAAATGAGCAAGCACAACGAATTGCACGGTAGTTAATGAAACAAACCTGATTTTCACTAATGCAAAGCCAAAAATAAAGCAAAAAAGCATTGTTAAGTAAAAATTTGTTCCACAGGAAGTAGCAAAACAAAATTACTTTCTAGAACACCCCAAATGTGATATTCCACATATTCATACATTCAGCATGCATTTGTTAGTGTCCTACCACTCTATAATTACTAAAGGTATGGAACTCTTGTGTAAGGTAAAGGACTTAAGTTGCTTCTCATACCAATCTTTTGCCATAGGATAAGAAATCCTGTAACTAAAGCATCAATGCTGCCTAGTCTGCCCAATCCTATTAATCAGGTTTAGCTGTGCCATCGTTATATCCAGTTTGGAAGCCATGCTGAGCAACAGAAGTAGAGTCATCAAAAGTTGTCCCCTCTACCTGTTAAAAACAGTGAAGTGCACAAACCTTTACTATGATGTTTTAGGAAGACATTTCCATACCTTTAGCACAGTGAAAAGCAAATATAGTGGCTGTGTCAAAGACCGATTTCCTGAGATGCTCAGACAGTCTTTAAAGTAGAGACTGAGCAGCTGTGTGGTACTTGCTCCTTCATTTTCCAATGCTGGGTAAAGTTCTTTTGTGCAGTGCTTCTATGCCACAGCAGGAGATGGCTGCCAGTGCAGAAGAATCATAGCTGTAACTACACTGGAGAAAGAAACTGAACTTGGTAGCATTCATGGCCACCCTTTGTGCCAGACCCAGGGATTCTAAATTTCATTTCTGGAAATGTCGACAAAGAAGTAAGCAAAAGCAAATAGAGTTGGGCCAGTTGCTTCCCATGTCTATCAATTAAACAGCCACCATTTATCTACTGTGAGAATGGAATGCATTTTTGATATTAAGGGATTCCATTGGCACCATGGGAAGCAGGAGTGTTGTAGCTGATATATAATTAGTTCCAAACTGCATCTCATTTTTTTTCCTGTTAAACATGGAATTTGTAGGCTTTTAAATATACCTTGGTTTATAGTAAGATGTACATTTTTAATTCCATTTCATATTATTTCAAGTGTTAATTGACAGAGTAATCATTAGCCGAAACTAGTTGTTCTGATTTGTAACATCATTGTAGTGAGGTGTAGAATATCTTCACCTTATCCTTTTTATTCCTCGTCACTGATGGCATAGGTAGTAGTAGATTTCAATTTCCATGTATCTTCAATCCATATTGCATTTACTGTATCATTTTATTTAACTACATTTAATACAGTAGGACCCCTTGTATCTGCAGAGGATAGTTTCTAAGCCCCCCCCACCGCCAGATTCATGACACAGTGGATAGTTGCAAACACATTTGGTTCTACCCGGGGGGAAGGGGAGACGGTGGGGTAAGTGCATGTGTGTACTACTGTGTGCACATTTACACTTCAGACTGAGTTGCAGCAACAGCAATAGAAAAAGCTGAAACTGTGGATACCAGCTCTGTGGATATGAGGGTTCTACCATATATCACTTTTACAACTAGCATGCCTCTCAGTTTATTTGTGTTTTTCCCTCTATGGGCCAACTGTGACACAATGGTAGTGGTATATCATATTTCAAACTTCTCAAAATTCTTAAATTGTATTTTGGGTTTGGTCCCCAGCATTCAACCCCTAAAAGTTGTCAACTCTATGTGGCTGCTGGACCCTAGAAAAGTTGCTTTTTCCCCTACTACTTCCAGAGTCTTCCCCCTACCTGGGCAGCGTGGACAGTGAAGATACTAATAACTACAGTACGTTGTATTTGTTTCAGATACATTGAGGCAAAACATGGCACTTGTAAAGTTTGAGATCGTATATAGCTGTACATTCTCAATATAAGTTTATGCATAAAACAGAATTTGTGAGGGTTGCACTGAAATTGGCCATCCATTTCCAAGATGTATAGTCTCCACGGTTTAAGGCACACAATTCATTTCTGACCAACACATATCCTGGAATTTACAGCTTGCTCTCTGTCGCCATTGCTAATAATGTTTGACTAAGTGGATTCTCAAATATCAGTTTACTGGTGGGCGAACAGGAAGAAGACAATCTTGTAGCAACACCAGGAATAACCAAGTGCTCTGGCCACCAAAACAGTGTACTTTCAAGTCTCCCACAAGCCTTCAAAAGTGATTCCCCTGGCCTCAAGAAAAGCTGGCTTCTAAGAGGATGGAATGTAAGATGCAGAAAACTCTAGTTTCTTTGATAATGATTTGGTTGCTTCATACCTGAGCTTAGTACACAGAGATAAACAGCAGTATATTATTACCTGTGGAGCAAGTGTTCCACTCTCCAAAAACAGTAAGTACAACTATAATGCATTTATGGCCACCAACAACCACCTGGTTAAAGTACTTGCAGCAGGGGGAAAAAGACTCTTGTGCTGCTTATCATATACTACAAGATACACAGAACAATAATTTTTCACTTAAGAAAATCAAACTATGTCTTTCCACCTGTACAGCATTTCCTGAACTAGTTCGTTAAATCAGAATTCGTAATGTTGCAAAAGCAGCCATTTAAGCCAGAATCCAAAATAGAATTAAACTTGAATTAAACTCGATAGGCATACTTTGAGTTTCTTTTTTCATTCTTTACTTACTGTAATCCATAGGAAACATAATGCACATGGGTATTTTATGTATAGGTATAAAATATCCTGACCTGATATTTGCCATTAAATGATAAGGCACCGGCTTGTAAAATTACATTCCATTAAGTTTCATGGGAAGAAGTAGGGAAGTCATGGGAACAACTACATTACTTGCAAGGCAAACCAAATACAGTGGTGCCTCGCATAGCGACGTTAATCCGTGCAGCAAAAATCGCTGCTAAGCGATTTTGTCGCTATGCGATTTTAAAAAGCCCATAGAAACGCATCAAAACCTGTTTAATGCGTTCCTATGGGCAAAAAACTGACTTTAAAGCGAAGATCCTCCATACGGTGGCCATTTTCACTGCCTCTAAAGCGAGGAATCCGTGCGAAAACACAGCGGGCAGCCATTTTTTTTAGCCGGTGGCCATTTTGGAACCGCCGATCAGCTGTTAAAAAATCGCTTTGCGATGATTGGTAAGCGAAACAGGGAATCGATAATCGCAAAGCAAAAAAAACACATAGGAAACATCGCAATGCGATTGCTTTTGCGATCGCAAAAAGTTCATCGCTATGTGGTTTCGTCGCTAAACGGAGTGCCTGTTAAGCGAGGCACCACTGTACTTAGAAAAGTTACTGTTTTAGACTTCAGCTCTTATAATTCCCTCCAGGCAGATATTGGCTGGTAGATTCAAGGAGCTATAACCTCCAAAAGTAACTTTCCTAAACTTTGGGCTAGACCATTTCTTACATGGTCCATTAGATCAAACCCCTGCCTACAGCTGATACCCACCCCCCAAATTAAGCCCAGCTAGTCTTTGCAAAACAGGACATGAAGGGCACACAAAATATAAATATCTGTAAAGTTGTGCATGCTATTTTCTTTCTTTTTCTTTGACACATGTCTTGAAAAAAAAACATTGTAGATTGGGTTTCCAGTTACTTCCAGAATATTCTTTGAATGCTCATCCCAGGGATTTTCAGTAAAATGTTGGTATTAGGTTACCTCCTTTCCCTGATTTCTACCAAGCTGTTTCTCTCCTGGGAGCATCATACATTTGCCATCTAGCACTACCAAGTAACCTACACAAAGAGTTAATCTGTACTGTGTCATCATACTGCTGTGATAAAATCTGGAGATTGCTCCCATAGCAAGCACCTTCTCATTTATAATAAATCCACCATTAGCTATACAAGGTTCTCTCCGGCTTAGGAACAGTTTTAGCAGCTGAACTAAATGAATAAATAATCAGCTAACCAAAGAGTTTCTTTAAACAAATGTTCCAGAGGCCCATCTGTAGATTAATTGAGAAGAACTTATCATAAGACATGCCTTTTTATTCA